GTCTCCACGGCCAGTAACTCCTCCTCCGATGACAATGGAAATTTTGAGGACAGCTCTATATACTCCTCGTCCTCCATGTCACCAGTGACGCGATTGATGCAGTTATGGGTCCTGGCAGCAACAACCTTCGATTCGCGCAGGATTTTACTCTGCGCCTGAACCTCGGCCTTTTCCGGCATCTATGAAGTAAAAAACTTTATTAATATATATACTTTTTTTAAATGACACGTTCAAAAATTTACTTTTTCATGGAGGGCTTTCTCAACGGCAGTGAGACGGACTTCCACGCTTTTGAAGGCAGTCAAAAAGCTTGTTTCCATCTTTCCAAGGCGTTCAAGAACTTATGGGTACATAGAAAAAAACATGCAAATTAAAGTAGAATTAAAATTCAATACTTTTTACCTGCGTGGGTGTCCAGGCCACTTGGCGACTCTCTAACTTGTGGGGCGCAAGTTATGTCGAAGCGCCGCTTATTAACACTTCGCTCGCCTTGCGAGCATTCCACCTCCGATTCACAAATTTCTTCGATAATTTCTTCGAACAACACACTAATGAAAATCATTAAATAATTGGTGTAATAAAGGCACTAATAATAATTTGTTATTATAAGGTGTGCAAAAATACTTACATATATTTAATATCATTTCTACTTATAAATACCTCTTTATCGGAAAAATTTGCTAAATTAAGACCTAAACAAGTTGAAGAATCTACTGGTTGTTCAAAATAATTTTCTGTCAGTTAAAACGAGAGCTATAAAAACATCGGATTCAACATGTTCCCCGATAATTTTTATGGGCACCGTTTTGTCACTGTAGCAAAAACTATCTTTATCCTCTTTATAAATTTATATAAATGAGCCAAATTTGGAGACTTTATCAGGATCTGCAACCAAATTTTTTCCTTCTAAATATCGGGTTTTCAGTTGTTGCAATACTTTGTCTGATTTTCTTAAGATTTTTTTTTTAAAGTTTGCATATAATTTTCTAATTTATAAGCGGAAAAGCTATTTAATGGTCCAAACTGTTTAACGCAATCAACTAAATGAAGCAAATCATGAACATTAAAACTAATTAAATGATTACCATATAATTGAACAAATAATTTAACGAATTCTTTTAACATTTCTTGAGCTATATTTATATCATTTGACCTCTCTCAAGAGAGAAGCCGAATTCCCAGAAGCAAAAGAAAATGGTAGTACAGGTCGTCGCGAACACAATCTTTTAAATCAAATATGCCTGTATACAATAAAAACTGCCGGAATTCTATAGATTTCTAATTATTTACGTCATCGAAATCTCTTGAAATTCTACAAAATTCCGAGGGAACCGATTTTGCGAGAGATCGCAATCGTTCGTTCATTAATACAAGATTTCCTTTAGGAATTATCAATTTCAATAATTTTTTCATTACATCCAAATCTATTCAGTGCATTGGTTCCATAGGAAACTGAGAAACCATGCCGACATTTGCAGATTCTAAAAACTCTCCCGCTCTCTATACTCAGGACGATGATGCTTCTTGTCCCTTCTATTCTTAAAAGTTTCATCTGAACGAGTTAATCCGCCATTTACTGAAAAACTAATTCTTCTATTTATGTATTGGCTGGAACATAGGCACTTCGGACAACTATTTTTCCCTGTGTGGGATATAACTCCACTAACAAAGGCGCGGGCTGGGGAATCACAGGTAAAGGATCTCACACTAAAGTGCTTTATTACATGATTTCTACCTACTTTTAATCCATTAGCTTTTAAAATTAAGACCTCATCACAAAATTTTGTAAGAAAATCTTCGGGATTACTAGGTTTGCTTTTTCCTTGAAAACATGCAATTACAAACGGACTGATCTTTGGATAACTTACCAATGAGCCCAAAATGGACCATACACAATTTTTAGAAGAATTACGAAGCATGAGGCCATCAATTCCTACGTCGATTTCTACTCGCTCGCTCGCTTCTAAGAAATCAAACGCAGGTGAATTAAAATTACTTTCAATACCGATATACAAAAACTCTCCACCTGCTATATTGTCAATATCAACTTTTTCTCTGTTTGTTCCAAGGAGAGTTTTTGCAGAGAAGGGGAAACATTTAATATCGACTTTATTCAAAGTTTGCAATAAATCAGTGGCAGTGTTATGAGATACGTTATTCCTAATAGCCCACGCCTTTAACTCCAGACATTTATCTTTAGGACTTTCATGTTCAATTTCCTCTTCACTAGAAAAATCATCTTCAAAAAAATACCGAACATCGCTGTTACTATCACTAGTTACGGCTCTACTAGTACAAGGAACATCATCGTATATACCTAGATCTACTATACTTGAATTAATACTAGATCCATTTGAAACCTCTTGCTCAGATTCATTTAATCTGCAAAATTTTGCCACCGTAGCTTCAAACTCCGCCTTTTCTTTGCTCAAAAGGTTAGCAAATGTCTTCTTATTCATATTTGTATGGTATGACACGATATTTTATGTAATATATACGTAAGTAATATAGTAATATATGTGTACGTATGTCTATCTCCTATAACTTATTTAACTTACCTTTTTAACGAGAACAGCACGCAAATCCACGCTGAGGACTAAAATAAAAAGATGTATTTTATATATTAATGACGCATTTAAAAAGCATTCGAGCACTTATTCAACTTATTTTTAATAGTTGCTAAAATTGTAAAAGTTATTTAAATGTCATGCGCCATGCGTTACCGAATAATTATTTACAATAAACATAAAGTAGGATTAGTATATCTACGATGACCATAATATATGGATTCAAAATGAAGGACAATTTTCAAAAATATGCCTACATATATTAACGTAGTATAAAAATATCAAAAGAGTATCTATGATTCAAAATTCTTAATACATTTTGAGCTTTGAATCAGGTTTTCTTCATCGATATTACATGAATATTTATAAAAGTATAGTAAAACATATTATAATAACAAAAACTTACACGAAAAGTGAAAATCTTTAAAAGATTATTTTATAGGCAAATTTTGAGTCGTTCAAAATGAAAACAATACCCTTTTTTTGTTTTTTGGTACTTTTCGCAGTTATTTATCAAAAATCGACGTCATGAATCGACGTAAACAACGAGTTACAAAGGTAGTTATGTGCCCTTTACAAAAATATATAAATTGTGCAGATTGCGCTGCATAGCATCTGCATTTCTAATCCGATTTTCATTATCTTTGGCTCAAAATTTACTGTAATGATTTATCGAGTTTTTAAACTAATGAAAAAAATTATCGAATAAAACTGCATATTTGATTAAAAATCTCACTTTTTTCGACTTTGATGACAAAATGCAAATGGTCGCCTGTAGCACTAATAATTTTCATTGAAGTCGCCACAAGTTATACATTTTGGTAAGAGGCATATTAATACCTTTCGAGCTGTAAGTCGCTTACGTTGATTGGGAGATTTTTTCATGAGATATTGAAGAAAAGCTACGAAAAGTGCCTAAAAACACTTTTTTGAGAAAACCCATCCGTTGTCCGATAATTTTAAAATAACGATTAAAATGCGGGACAAATGCAGGACACCTGGAAAAAATCAGTACATTTTCAGGTTTTTCAGGTTTGAAAAACTACGCAGGACCGACCTTTGAAAAACACTACGGTCCTGCAAAAATCAGAACGGATGGTCACCGTAAGTATATAGTAAGTAAAGTAGGATTAGTATATAGTAAGTAAAGTAGTAAGATTAGTATATAAGTATAAATGTTGAAATCCTAAATGAAGTATAATAAGAAATTTTAGTTTTTTAAAGCTTTTACATAGGTAAAAGTATATAAAGCGAAGCTAGCAGAAAATAATAGCTTTCGCTGGGCAGCATATATATATAGTAGCAATGCCTCCTATAATTGCACGCAGAGGAAAATAACGTTATCGTGCCTTTAAAATTTATTTTACTACTTTAAGGGCCCAAATACTGTTAAAATGTATGTACACATCGTTACGTTAATTCACAAAGGCCCCAACCAACAGAACTGCGTTTTTCACAGATTTAAGTATGATATATTAAAATACACCTCTAAAAATTTGAATGGGTTAGTATCAAAACCAAGGGAGTTATGCCACATTTTTAAAAGGCTTATCGTCAGTTTTTGTTTTTTTTTTATAATGGTTTTTTCTTCCCCTGTAAAATAGAAAATTTGCTGGTTAGGGCCTTTGTGAATTAAGGTAACGGGTTCCAAATAGCATCAACTCCAAAATAGCGCCATGACCCGCCAAATTAAAACTTAAATTGCATAACTTTATCTTCTGGCATTTAAAAATAAACGAAAAGGGTGCTTTATATTGATGCGCTTTAAAAAACAGTCAAAATATCACATATGTTGCACCGCATGTGTTTACATATGTATATGTAGTAATTTGACTCCCAGATAATTACCAACAAAAT